GTTCATTCATTCGTTCGTTCGTTCAATTAAACAATAGCCCAAACGGTGACAGACAGAACAAGTTGTAATTTAGGCCCATTTTGATACCAATTAGAAAGTTTTGCCTCTTTTATTCAACAAGGGAATTACTTTTTAAGTTACAAAGACTTTTCCAGACTAACCTATTGGTAATCAACCAATATACACGTTGATAAGTAAGAATGAACTTTTTTTACAAAATTAGGTTATGGAGCGTGTGGATGACGGATTTCGTTTGCCTTCTCCTATGGTTTGTATTTTACTTTCTCTTTTTTGCGTGCTAGTCTATATATTACCGAGCTTAAGATCTACAACGCGAACTTACGACGTGGACGTCGCATTAAACAAGTTTTATTTTAAAACGATGGCAAATACCATTAAAATATTTTTATCACAGTAAATAAAATGAAATTATACTGGAAAAATGTACAACATAACAGAGGCTAGCAATATATTAAGAAGATATTTTTATCATAAGTTTTTACGACTTCTATGACGACGAATCTTTGCAAATATCACGTCGTCTCGGATGGTAGTTTTGGCGGGAAAATGTGCATTCGTAACAATAGTCCATAAAGCCTGGTTTCTATCATTTCGTATGGCTGTTAACGTGTCATAACAGTGTCACAAATCTCGCAGAAATAAACTGTGACAACTCTGACTAGGCTTACACTCGAAAACTAGACTTAGGTAAGCACGTCCGCGTCACAAATTCGCGTTGTAGATCTTAAGCTCCCTATTATGTTTTAATAAACAAATGCGTTCGAAACATAAGGTTAATCTAGTTATTCTAGTATTTATTATTCTCATGGATATTGATGTATCTTAATTATGATCTCGTTACCCATGGATATTTGTTGTGTTTTAGAACTGTCCTCAAGCTGTTCATGAATTGATGTTGAAATGTTGGGACAAGGACCGGCGTCTTCGCCCTAGTTTTCAAGATATTCTTGTTACAATTGGTCAATGGATTGAATCACCTGAAGTTCTTCATCAACCGATGCCTAGCAGAAGGTTTGTTTTATCTTAGTGTTCTATGCTTCTACACTCCTGCCATTTGTTTTGGTCAAACGATAGTTCTAGTGAAACCCTCTTCAAATACAGTAAAACTACACTAACTTTATTCTTTAAAACATTAATTTTAACACTGTAGATGTACAGTAAAGGCGTTACCCTATCATTCCAGTTTTTATTACCAGAGGAAACAAGACCACCCAAATAAAGAGTTGTATTGTCTAAATCAAGCGCACAACTCACCTACGATAACATAGGCCACAAGAAGCGCAACATGATTTAACGTAAAAACAGTCTCAACCAGTTATGGCCAAGATTGTAGTTCAGAAATATAAACCACATATTTTTTGTTTCAGTAATCAAGTACCTGACACTAGATCAACAACTTCAGTCAAGGAATGGTTGAACGAAATAAAGATGAGCTCATATATGCCTCATTTTGCTGCAGCAGGTTACGAGCAACTCACTGATCTCGCTGGATTACTGGACAATGATTTAAAGGATTTAGGAATAAGCCTTGTTGGACATCGGAATAAGATGCTGCGAACAATTCGATCACTGCCAATCACACAAGAAAATAACGTCTAGTGATTCTTTGATAAGTACAATACGAAATTTAGAGCAAACAGTTTTTTTCTTTTGTTTATAAAAGTTGTAAAACGCAAGAAAGAATTAAACATTTTGATTTTCAAAGGAATAAATATGATACCTGCAAATATCTATTCATAGTAAAAGCCAAAAAAGGAATGGTTAACATAAATCGACTCAAGTGAACTCGACAAGGGCTCTATATACCAATTGAGCCATCGGTTTCCAGTGAAGTAAGCTAAACAATAGTTTGAACTACCCACAGACGTAGATTAAATAAGGAAGACATTGACATAGATTAAGTAAGGGGCTATGGTTGTATCCAGAACGAAACAGTTGCTTGGAATAAATACATTGAATGCAGAGCACATAAGAGGATTTCATTAGAAGGATCAAGAAGACCACTATCCTCCTCCAAAGCATAAAACAAATGGTAATAAGTGTATGTAGCAGAACAGCATACAGAATTAGCAGAATAGCATACGGATTAGCAGAACAGCACACGTAATTCGCAGAACAGCACACGTAATTCGCAGAACAGCACACGTAATTCGCAGAACAGCACACGTAATTCGCAGAACAGCACACGTAATTCGCAGAATAGTATGGAGAGTATAGCGAAATACAATACGTAAATAGCAGAACGGAGTCGGCAAAATACTTATATACACTGTAAATTAATGTTGAGTTGTTTTGAACCAAATTTTACTCTTCAAAATTTGCTATAAATAAATAATAAATAAAATATTGTAATTACACCATCCATATGGCCATGTATGATTGTATTTTATTTTCTCGCACAATGTCGTCTTAATTATTTATAGCTAGCAAAGAATTTAACCGTTAATATGGGTCATTATGCCAGCTGTTCAATGATTAACATTGGATCAAAAACACGTCACACCCTGGATGCTGGCATGCAGGGTGTGACGCATGTATAAGTTATAATGGTAATGCAAATTCGAACGCAAAAACGTAAAAGCTTACCGCTCAGGTGAATGAAAGCATAATGTACACTTAATACATAATTTGGCTATTTGCTGTTCAAATTTCATTTGGTGAAAAGGATATTTTATGTAAAAAACCCAAGAGAATTTCGTCTCATAGAACAAGGTGAGTTGTTGAAGAATTATTAACTACACCGGCCCAACAAGAGGATTAATTTACTATAGCTGGCACTTTTTATATGCCCATATATAGTTCGAGAAAAGTATCAAAGAATGAAATCTTATGCATGCAGTTAATAAGAACAACTTGTTGAAAACCTACGTGATATGATAGTCCTCAAAAATTCTTTACCTTTCGTTTGACTCCATGGGACGTATTTTCCTCAGATATATCAGTTTCTGTATAGTTCCTGCAGTTACCTTTCAATCCTATGAAAATTTTAAATTGATAATTTACAGATAAATTGAACAAATAAACTGAAAATGATGTTCAGTATAAAGGCGGGGTTTTAATTCCTGTAAGGAAAAGTAAATATACAGTTATTAATTGTACATGCATCAGTTTCGTTATATATGCATACATGTACAGGGTGTATCAAAATAAACGCAATTCATCTTTTGTGCTTAATAACTTTCGAAATACTATTTCTAGTTAAACGCTTTTAGGCTTACTTCAAAGCCTGTTCTTTCCTCTTTCAAACAAACTATTATCCTTGTCTCCAATGCTAGTA